AAGTCACAGCTGCGATGGCTTGGGCATTTGTTGCGAATGCCTCCAGAAAGGAAGGCTAAGCAACTGTTCCGTGCAAATCCGACCGGCAGAAGGTCCAGGGGACGGCCAAGATTAACCTGGTGCAAATATATGGAAGGAATCTGTTCCAGGCTCCATTTATCTTTTGCCAAAGCTCAGACTCTCTCACAGAATCGGAAACGTTGGAAGCTCTCTCTGACGTGTCTGCCTCTGCAACCCGAAAGAAGGGGCGATGGAAGGTGAAGATACGGCATTGCTACTAACGACGTTTTGGGTCTATATGCTCAAACTCTGCAACGTCTTTTAAGACGGTGTTTGTGCGGAATTTTATAACGTGATTTAATTGTAACGGGGTGGCTCTGTGCAATTATATACGGCTGTTATTTTGAGGTTTCTGTGCATAACTGAGCATTCTGTCTATTCAGTCAATGTACACCGTTGTCGCGGTTGAACGTGGGTAACTGAATAACTGCATTGGAATCGCGGGGGGCAGATAAATAGGGCACATGTCCATAGAATTTATACACTCTGATCTAAACACATGTCTATGTCTGGAGACGGTCAAGAATGCCAGATTCTGCACAAGACTCAGGCTATCTTCTGTTGAAGCTCAAGATCAGAAACATTGGTGGCACTGTTGACACTGAACGGAAATGATAAGCGGTCATCGATGCTGAATGACTGACTGCCCGACTAGCTTATGCATGTTACCAACATGTACCCCAATGTACACGATGCACACAAAAAACGTAGCAAATTTGTCCTTATGTGTCAGACGTCTCATATGACACAGTACTTCATCCACCCACTTGATATCTGTACTCTGTTATGTTACATATTCTGCAAGTTTAAGTCTTATTTAGCCAATAGACAGCATGTATTCGGAAGGGAAAGTTTTCACTATTAATATTATTGCCCAAACCAAGAATGAATAGACAGTAAATACAGTTTTTGCCAACAGCGGCATTTTTTATACCGTGTTTGCATCTGCACTATGTAGCACGAACGTACTTACTATACAGCGATATGTAAATTATGTATAGGAACTGTGCCTACTGTTGTCATTTTTCCAGATTTGCACCGATGCTTGCTTTACCCTTGCTTGTAATGATTTACACTGCAATTTTTAGGACTTATCTGCATTTAGAAATATGTCTGTAAGTGCATCAGTCTGTCGTTTGTGGCATACAATGAGTGATGTTTACACTGAAACGTAAAAAATATACAGTAAGATATATTCCATCATCTGTGATACAGTAAAATAGTACCAACATGTTGTTTATGTCTCATTCTAACTAAAGGTATCCTTCACGGCGATGCTAATCTTATCATATTATCAGGAGTTGTTCTTTCCTTTAAACTTTTTTCTTTGACCAGTTGTCACCGTTCTGCTGTTCGACGGCCAACCATCGCAAACGGTTAGTCACTAGGCTGTTTTAGCATCTATCTTTCAAAAAAGTCTACTGTCGAACTATGCGAATATGAAAATTTTCCGTACAAAAGAGTAGTTTAATCATAAGTAAGTTTCGAGATTAATAAATTCTGTGCTGCACCATTTGAGTATTTGTCCTTACGCCAGGCTGTTGATTTCACCCCTCGCTACCATTACCGATTGGCGATTACGTTCCATCTGCTTTCTGTGGTGATCGATGATGATTGTGGCAGTGATGAAAGCACTTTCTGCCTTTGTCCGATAATCTTAGCCGCAGGCGAAGTTATCCTGTCGCTGTAAGACGGACGCAAACTGACAAGGGAAGTGCAACAGCGAGACGTAATACGTCTCACTGAGTGCAGATGCCCGTACATATGTACGTTTAGCGTATGCTTGATGATTCACCATATCTTTGGTAATCTGAGTTCACGCAGAAAGCTGTTTCAAAAAATGTTTTCTTTTACCCTTTAGTGCCTGTTTTTCTGAAGTTGTAATGACATAAGTTAGGTTTCGAATTTTCATTTATGCATAAGCTCATATGCAAACGGCTATTGGCGGGGTTAGTGCATATTTCTTTCTAAAAGAATATTGCATATACTGGGATGAATTTGAACTTTTGAGCAGTTTGAAAGAATGCCATTTATAAAGTTGTAAGCATACTATAAGACGTCATTGTTCGCATATGCAC